GAGTTGGTGGGGCCCCCTTTCCTGGAAATATTCAAGCCCCGCCTGGACGTAGTCCTGTGCAGCCTGCTCTGGGTGCCCCTGCTTCGGCAGGGGGTTGGACTGGGTGACCCCCAGAGGTCTCTTCCAACCCCGACCATTCTGTGATTCTGTGAGCAAGAAGTTTCATCCCATTCTCACAAACAAAAGCAACTTGACTTGACCTGCGCTTTATTTTCAGAGATGTCAAACACCCAGCACCCCCCAGGAGAAGACTAGGGAAGCCATTTACGCACACGATGAGGTACACCCCCCCCCAAACCCCCCCCGCCCAGCCCCCCGTACCCACAGGACGCCGGCATACGTACACTTGTTGAAGTCAAACGCGAGCTGCAGGCTCACGCAGAGGAAGGCCTGGCAGCTGGAGCACTTCAGCATGTCGCACTCCACGTTGGTCCAGCCGTACTTGGCGCAGACCAGGGGAGACAGCTCGTGGGGTTTGCCCGCCCACTTCAGCGGGTGCTCGCGTTAAGGAGAAAAGCCAATAAATTATGGGTTAAACAGTCGAAGATTTGGCCAGGGTTTATTTGGCCAGAGAAGAAAAGCCTCTGAGAAGACAGAGCCCATGGGGAAGCCATGGGGAGGGTGACAGTGAAGCAGGGTGGGGGACGGCTGGAAGTTCAGCGCCAGAAAGGATATGGTGAACGTTTCCACTCTGCTGAAATAGGCTTCCTTGCTGGTGGACTCCAAGGAGAGAGCATCCATTTGAGAAGATCCGTTAGCCGACTCTGACCAGTTGGATCTGTCCTTCCTAAAAGGAACAGCAAGTCAGCAAGCGAAGCATCCGCGCCGTCAGATAATTTCATCAATTTTTTTGAATCAATAAAACCCCATCAATTTCATCAATAAAAAAAACCACACAGACCACTTTCTAACCTCTCATCCTTCAGGTTTATCCTTACAAGAACCCTTTCTCCAGAGCTCCTAAGCCATGACTTTCAATTACTTTACTAATAAACAAATTTAAAAAATACATATTGCAACAAGGGAAGACGCACACTGAACATTTCATGACAGACAGCGGTGGCGGGTGGGGATGGTTGGGTCAAGGGTGTACCGTGCCTCCACAGGCAACCACGGTTGCTTGGCTTTAGCCAGACCCCCCCCAAAGCTCACCCAGCCAGCGCCTCCCAGTCCCCTCAGTGCCCACCAGTAACTCCTGTGACTCTCAGTGGCCACCCAGGGTGTGACCCCGCATTCTTTGGGTCAGAGCCCCAGTACATGGCCAGTTCTGCTGGCTTGGGCTGCAAGGACACCAGACCTCTACAGGTCACCTAACTGCCCCTGCCCTCCCACTGCACACCAGTGCCTCCCACTGCCCACCACTGCCTCCCGGTATCTCCCAATTTCCGCTACCGTCTCCCATCATAGAATCATAGGTTAGAAAGGACGTCTAAGATCATCAAGTCCAACTATCCACCCAACACCACCACGCCTACTCTTGGTTGCTCCAGCACCTCCTCGTCCCACCGGTACTGCCTCCCAGTAGCCCTTAGTGCCACCAGTACTGCCTCCCACTGCCCCTCAGTGCCACCAGCACCGCCTCATCCCACCGGTACTGCCTCCCTATGCCTCTTAGTTCCTCCAGCACTCCCAGTGACACCAGTACTGCCTCCCATTTCCACTTAGTATCACCAGTACTGGCACCCAGTGCCCCTTAGTGCCACCACTACCTCCTCATCCCATCAGTACTGGCACCCAGTGCCCCTGCCACCACTCCCTCCTCACCCCACCAGTACTGGCACTCAGCACCCCTTAGTGCCACCAGTACCTCCTCGTCCCACCAGTGCTGCCTCCCACTGCCCCTTAGCGCCTCCGGTACTCCCAGTATCGCCTCCCAGTGCCCCCCTGTGCTTCCCAGTCCCTCCCAGCGTCCTCTTTTCCCACTACCCCTCTCCAATAACAACCCCCAGTGCTCTCCAGC